AGGTCTTATCTTGCACGCATGTACGGATCCTTCGACTCTTCTCACCGAGGCACAATGTCGCGATACAGAGCCTACGACAAGGACGATGACGTCCCCGTCATCGAGGACACGGGCGTTCGCGCGGCGTACACCACCGAAGACTCCACCTCGGCCGACTTTGCCTCAATCGACCCGGAGAGCGGTGTGAAGCGCGGGCTGAAGACGAGACATCTCAGCATGATGGCCTTGGCTGGCATCATCGGGCCGGGATTGCTGATTGGTGCGGGCGGCGCGCTTTCCAACGGAGGACCGGCATCCCTGCTTATCGGATTTGCGGTGATTGGTATCATCGCCTTCAGTATCATGCAGAGTCTCGGCGAGCTCACGACACTGTACCCGAGCGGCGGAGCTTTCACCGGTTTGGCCGACCGCTTTGTCGACAAGGCGTTTGGAGTTGCGTTGGGGTGGAACTACTACATCATCTGGATGTGCGTGTTGGCGAACGAGTATAACGTCCTGTCTAGCATATTTGTGTTCTGGAGCGACAAAGTGCCGCTTTGGGGATACTTCCTCATATTCTGGGTATGTCGAATGCTCGATTTGGGCTTTGATTCAGCCAACTTACAAAAATCAGACTCTCTTCCTTGGTTTCCAGCTTCTTGGAGTCGAGGCATTCGGCGAGGCCGAGTTCTGGCTGGCTCTGTTGAAGTTAATTGGCCTTGTGGCTTACTTCATCTTCTCTATTGTGTAAGTATTGAGCTCGATGGAAGGAGCTGCCATTGCTGATCATCGTCCAGATACGTTTCTGGTGGAATTCCGGGACAAGATGCAATTGGCTTCCGCTATTGGCGGGATCCCGGCGCTTTCACAGACGGGTTCAGAGGTGTGGCCAAGGTCTTCGTCTTCTGCTCGACCTTCTATGCTGGCTGTGAGTCGGTAGCAGTTGCAGCTACTGAGACAAAGAACCCTCGAGTTGCGGTGCCTCTAGCTATTCGCCAGGTCTTCTGGCGCATCATCTTCATCTACATGGGCTCTGCATTCTTCTTCGGCCTCACCTGCCCCGCTAACGCCGATGAACTGGTCAACGGTGGCTCTCGTGCTGTCAAGAGCCCAATGACGGTTGCAATTCAGAACGCCGGTTGGGAGGGCGGAGTACACCTCATCAACGCGTTCATCTTCGTCACCTGTCTCTCTGCTTGTAACAGCAGCATTTGTAAGATTTCTTCTGCTACGTAGGCGGTCACAAGAGGGAAATGCTGACAGTACGCTCTAGACATCGGCTCCCGAACGCTGCTGTACATGGGCCAAGACCGCAAGGCCCCGAAGATTCTTGGCACGACAGATAGCCGCGGAGTTCCAATCCCGGCAATCGTCTTTACGAACCTCTGCGGAGCTCTATCGATGATGAACATCAGCACTGGTGCTAGCCAGGCTTACTCGTACATCGTTAACCTCAGCGGCGTGTCAACCTTCCTTGTCTGGGGTTCGATCTCGTTCATCCACATCCGCTTCCGCCAGGCATGGAAAGCTCAAGGCCACGCCGAGAGCTCTCTACCATTTATTTCCATGTTGTACCCCTGGAACGCCTACTTTGGGCTGGCGGCCAACGTCTTCCTCGCGTTTGTTCAAGGATGGACGACCCTGTCGCCTTTCGATGCTGGGTCCTTCGTGGATGCCTACATCTTGCTGCCGTTGTTCCCTCTCATCTACTTTGGCTACAAGTTCTGGTTCAAGACTCATTTCTGGAAAGTCGATGAGATTGATCTTCTCTCCGGCCGCCGTCGGGATCTGGACGAGTCGCACGAGATTGAGACGGGAGAATATGACTTGGACAGACTTCCGTGGTGGAAGAAAGTGCTCAAGAGCTTTTAGATGTGATACCCTGTGTTATTATTGATACAATACTGGATGATTCATTTGATATGGAATGCCATCGCTCCTATTTTTTGTTGTCGAATTGGTTTCAAGGGTGCCAAGGACATAGTCCACCACCAGATAACAAATCCAAGCTATGCGAGGTCTACCAGCTGGAGGGGCTGTATCTTTAGGGATCTAGGTTGTCTGAGTTCAATATTTTTACCGAGTAAGATGTCGTCGGTGAAGGGCATGAATGGGCCCTCCCAAATCGACACCAAAGGCCCGCCAACTTTGTAGCCCTTGTGCCAAGAGTCCATCAGCTTAAAGCTGGCTGCAAAGTCAGCGTGCCATCTCTTAGAGCATCACAATTAGCCAATAAACGCGGGTTTCCACCAAAGTTAAGTTGTCTTGATTTGCTACAGCTGGCCATACAGTTGCTTACTATGCAACCTGTGACTAATAATGTTATCACGAGTACGAAGGGCAGAACGCCGTTTCTGTTCTCCCAGTCCATCCTTGCCTGGTCCAAGTTTCCTGTCCCGAGACCTCCTGTTACCAGGGAGCTCTTGCACAGTCTTAAGCCTCAATCTGGAGTGTCTGGAACTCGGCGGGCACGGCGTCGGCACCGGCGCCGGTTTCGGCAATCTTCTCCTGTAACCGGGCCAAGCAAGTCAGCATCTATTTCAAGTGCCCATACGCATCGTTATCTTTCTTCTAGAGCTCCAGTAAAAACCTACCAACTCCTGAACCTTCTCATCCGCCAGGTCGGCGATGTTGTAAGCGGTGCCGTCCGCGAGGCCGAGCACATCAGGCTTGACAACGGCCTCGCATTTCCCGGCACCGGGCTGCTCGGCGGGGCAGGACAAGTCGTCGGCGCGCTTGCGGTTGAGGAACCAGTACTTGCCCCCGGTACGGTCGCCCCGGGTCGTGTACGGCAGGCAGATGGTGGTGCCACCGTTGGAGTCATACTGACCCCCGGTGAAAGAGCAACCACCGCCGGTATAAGCCTCAGCGCGAATGCGCCAGTTGCTCGGGATCTGATCACCATTCATTAGTTCTGAGACTTTTGTGAGCTAAGAGAAAGAGGTTTCACGCACGGCAACCACAGAGATGCTCGACCTGCCGCTGGAGCCTGAGCTGCTGAACGAGCAGCACACGTTGGGGTTGATGTTTACACAGGCTACGTAGGCCCCAGCGCAGCTGCTGCCGATGTGAGCCCTGATGTCGATGGCAGATGCGGTGACCGCGAGGCCAAGGAGGATCGAAGAGACGGAAAAGTACATATTGGATATGTGCGGTGGTGGATTTTGGTGTGATGCTGCTTAGTTTGAAAGAAGAGGAGCTGAAGGTGATGGAGGAAGCAAAACAGAACCGTCTCGGACGAGAAAGCACCTGGCTTTATACTGTTTCTTGAACAGGTTGTCCATCCTACAACCTCTCATTCTGAACAAGAGCAACAGACGTCGATACCTCAACTCTGTGGCATTCAATATCACGCGAGGGCCCCTCCCGTGCCGTCTTACCACCTCGCAGATGGGGCGTCAGCTAGCTGGCCATCATTCGAGGTATCACACGCATCTATCGACCACAAGTGAGGGCATTGCCACCGCCCGAGCCAAAGTTTCTTCGCAGCCCGCTCGCAGCCCGTGGATCGCTTCTAAGGTATAGACGGAACTCTCCAGATCATGGAGTTCTCCTTGCTGAACTATTCTCATCCTATAATACAAGTTCTTGAACATAATCATGCTAAGATTACAATCATCGATCCCAACTACTACTAATTTGTGCTTGCAGTCCGGCAAGTGCCGGACGAACAAGGCGACTTCGTGAGGTTATTTTCTCCAAGACATGCGTCTCATTTCTCGGCTTCTTGGCAGTCTTCCCCGAAGCAGCAAGTTGACAATAATTACTGTTTTGAGAGCCCATAGCGCTTACGCCGAGAGAAGTTTCGCTGCATCTCTTTCTCGGCATAGACCAGCAGTCTGCCCAGACGTATACCATGTGACATCGCAGACGATAGATTGTCAGCCTAAAATGAAACCCCGCAGTTCCTGGTCCTGAGACCTGGCAGGAGACAGCAAATCAAAAGTTCCACCTTCGTTCAGCTTACTGTGTAGGTCAGTTTAACCTATTCGAGTTGTTACAGTCCGAGGAGTAAGCAGACAAGATGTCAAACGCCTAAGCCTATGGGACTAAAAGCAGCTTACTATGCATGTTTTAGTCTATTCAACGGACGGTTTGTTGCAACCCATACTGTAAGCATAAGCAACAGAGAATGCCCCACAAAGATACTTGGCAGTTAGAATTGATTGAGCTGATTGATTGATTGATTCCATTATCCCGCGCGGTCCGGCCCGCCCCACTTCGCCAATCCAAACCATCGACCAGCTGCACTCAAGTTCCCGCTTTGCATCTTAACCTCTTTCTACATTTGGTTGGTTCTCTTCTGACGTAAGTCTCGTAATAGGTTCTGTCGAGAACTGGTGTAGCATACCGTGATTCTGTGTACCCACAGTCTCCTACTAATGGTCAGCTTTGTCTAGGTTGCGGCGCGATTCTGAAGTGCCCAAGGATCTCGACCTGTTCCATGAATCCGACGGCTTTCGTGCCTCTCTCGGATTGAGCAGTTAACGTCTGACACTCTTCGGTAAACGTCCTTGAGTCCAATGGTTTTTGTTCAAATATGCATAAGAACGGAGCTCTGTCGTTTGCACAGCCGCTCATGGAGGTACAGCACCTTCTTTGTTGGTGTTGGTGTGTGGCAAATGGTGGTTCTGCCTCGCTTCTCTCTTGCCCACTCGACCTGCCACGCCTTATTTGTATTTCTATACGTCTACGTCTAGGAGTGAGTATAGATTCTTTGACATGTCCGATCTGGTGTCCGTTTGGCCGTCCCTTCGCCGTCCGGCGGCTTGTTTGGCGGCAGTGTCGGCGTCTTCGTTGCCCTTCATCCCTGTTGGGCGGGTACTCATCGGGTATGCTGGTGCCTCAAAGTACGTCTACTAGGTATTGATTCACAGAAAAGCTGCAGGTCAAGGTGAGAAATTTAATGAACTCCGCGTGCAATGTTTGAATTTGGGGGCTAGAACCCCCTCCTACTTGTAAAGACGGCCACGCATGCTTTGCTTTCTCGGTTTAGCAGTCTTGCCTAATCAACTCTCATATCAATTGAAGGCCGAGATATACCCGGTTCCGGTAGTGCTGTCAATGTGCAATACATCCACGAAACCTGGACCGGCAGTACTTGTCTCCCGCGATGCCAACATGCGTCTCATCTGAGTACCATCCTGTCCACCAGGCGCCGATCCCCAAACGAACTCCCCAAGCATGCGCAGCTGCATCGGGAAGTGGTCGTCGCCATAGTGCTGGATGACGTCTGCCTTGCTAAGCTTGGTCTTCAGGCTCGACCACCCACTCACATCAGCAGTCATGACCTCGCACTCTTGTTGCTTCTCATCATTCCACCAAGGCGGCAAGAGCTTGCCGTTGACCGATCTCCTTGCCGTTTCCAAGAAGCGTCGAAATCCAGCCTTTCCGTCGCTGTACCGAGAAGCGTAGATGGAGTCTGGCTCCATGATACCGACGATCTTGGCGTCATCTTCCATGCGAAGACGATAGCAGTCGATGAGGATCTTGTAGACGTCCTTCTCGGGGCGGTTGTGCAGGTAGGTGCGCTTCTCCAGATTCGTGAAAGCATTCATGATAGGCGCCTCCAGACCGCGGCTTGGGGTCGGCCTGGACGGGTTCCAAGCTGTCGATGACGGGGGTGGCGCCCGACCGTAGGTAGTGTACCTAGGTGGCTCAGAGGGATTGGCGGTGCGAGTCCGAGCGCATGACTTCTTGTGATTCTTCCAGTGAAGATTCTAGCAGCTCTTGGAGCAATATTTGACGTCGCAACGGTCGCACTCTGCCCCTTCGTCCGGGATATCCTTCTTGCACTTCTAACAAGCCGCTGCCATGATGGATTGTGATAATAGGTGTTTATAACGAGATGTAAGGGTCAGCTTTGAGTGATTGATGTCCAGTTAACTCCCTTATCGGCGGTTTGAGTTGCGGGGTTGAGATTTGACACCGTGAAGTGGTATTGAAAATGAATCGGAATATCTCCGTTCACATCCCGTGCCCAATCGAATACCTGATTGCTCAGCCACCAAAGATAGCTTAGTCAAAAGAGGAGCGCATGTCTTCACAAATGCCACATTCGGTCATATTGACCCACGGCCAGCTTCATAAGCAACTCTGGCCAGCGCTCGTTCTCAGCAGCAGATAATTTCACATCTTTGATTATTAAACACTAAATGGTATCTTGATGGTAAATGTAAGGAATTATTTTGAGTAATACACCGCCACATATTGTGCCTCCAACGTCCCTCCCGAAACCGTAGTGGCAATTGGTGTCTTTGATCCATAAATGGCATCTGGGAAACTCCCACCCATGGCCATGTTCAACAAGACAAAGTGAGCCTTTTGGGTGGTGTTTGCCCAGACAGCCGCTGGAAGCTGTGTTTGGGTGACACTATGAAGCAATTGGTCGTTCACATACCACCGGATAGCCTCTGGAGACTTGGTTCTATCAACCTCAACGGCGTACGTGCGAAATACTCCAGAGCAAGAGGAAGTCGCGGGACAATTCTTGCTGTTGCCGAGTCCGCTAGGCTCGTTGCATGGTCCGCCTGGGTTGGTGCCGCAGTGCAGGACAGCCCAAACTCGATTGACGTTGTTCACGTTCTCCATGATATCGATCTCGCCGACTGATGGCCAATTCCTGGATACATCGTGAGCTTCCAGATCATGAGCTGCAAATAAACTTAGGCTCACCAGTAGTTGCCACGGTAAGCGGCGCCTAAAGTCCAGAAAGCTGGCCAGTAGCCGACGCCTCCGCCACCGAGGTTGGGAAGCTTCAGGCTAGCTTGAACACGCATCTTCTTGCCTGCCGGAGCCATGAAAGTCTGCTTGGTCTCGATTCGGGCGGAAGTCCATGCGCCTTTTGCGTCTTTGATCGCGGTAATCACCAGGTTTCCCTGGCCGTTGGTGGCGACATTGCTGGGACTATTGGTGTAGGTCTGGACCTCTCCGGTTCCCCAATTTGCTGGGCCTCCAGGGTAGCTAAGCTCAATGTTAGGTAACATGTTTATGATATTTTGAGGGTTCAACGGCATCTCACCTGGTGCCGGTATCAATGATCCAGTTTCCACTACTAGGCAGGGCACCGCGAGATCCGGTGAAATCATCAAACCAAGTCTTTGAAAAGCCTGCGATATCTGGGACCTGTGCGTGAGCAACAGGCAATGCCAGAAGGATGGCTGCCGTGAGATCAAAGGTGCGCATGGCTCTATCGGTCTTGGGACGCTAGTTCGCTGTTAGCCTTGTAGATCCATATTTCGTGGCAGCGGGGAGAACCAACAGTGTTAGGCAGGGAACTCCTGTCAGATCACAAACCGGATGCTCTGAAAGTCCGAAGGAGTGACAAAAACACAGGTCTTTGGGCGAGAGAATGGCGAGCGTCAACAATGGTGTGTGCTGTGACTATCACGAAATCTCTGGGTCCTCAGCCCGGGGCTGACCTCGACTTATCAATCGCATCACGGAGCTACTCCAACAGCAGGCATTCCCATGATCATGGGGCGGAACTTGCTCAGATTGGGTGGCAAGGTGTCCGCGGGCCTGTCTAGACCCGGAGCTCTACGTTAGGAAGAGCTAGCTACACCGAGCTGTCGCGTGGCGCGGTCTGGACTTTTCCGGAATTGGGCTGTTCGCGTTCTCGCCAACATGATCGCACCCATTCAGCTGGGAAGCCCGAGCCGCTAACCGAGACTAGTTGTCGCTCTGAGACATCTTTGACAGCTTGGCCGACAATCTTTCCCCAAAGCCCTTGGGTCCTGCACGGGTGAGCTTCCGGGAAAATTCGTCGACCGGCCGTGACTGGAGGCGGTGCTCATTATTGGGACACTAGGAAACCCCGGTAGCGATGAGCGGGTTGGCGACATCTTTATCCTCACGGCATCTAACTTCCGACAGTGTTTGTGAACGGAGCAGGAGGCAAGGGAGAATCGATAGCACATCGCAACGGTGTTAGGGGCTGAGGAATTTGCACTGATGACTATGTTTACTTCTGGCTCTATTTACAAAATTCCTAGGCAATCCTCCACGTCACAGCTGACGACGTCGTCAACATCGGTTGGGACCATTCGCCGTCTTATGGATCCTCATATCAGATTGCGCGAAGACCTTCAGTCATGGCATCTACGACTGCTGGTTCAATGGATACAGCGTGGTTTTTAAGATTAGGGTTTGTTGGAGGGTTCAAACCCTGAAAGCATTCTGGAGTCAAGAAGAATCCTCGCTCCCCTTGGAGATTTCCTCCAAACATCGGTACGTCGTGGGACCAGCAGATCATGCCTCTGAGTTGGACATCGATTCGCGTCCCTATGTTCAGGTCGAAAGACTTGAGAGCCGGCATGGAACGCATTGCGAGAAAGATGGAAGTGAGTAACGGCGTCAGAAGATGAGAATTAGTGGAGAGAAGACAAAGGGGCCCGGTCGGGTTTTCTATTCTGTAAGTCAACAGGGTTGAAAGGCTCAATTGTGGGCAGAACATACCCTCCATATCTTCTTCATGCGGGCATGGTATATCATTATAGTAAGCCTGTCCGTCAATAGTCATGCTTCCAAATCTGATTGTGTACCACCTCAAACGTGGCCAAATCTCTGTTTCCGCGCCCATTACCCGCTCGGGAGAGAAGAATTCGATACCTAGGGCTTGATCTCCTAGACTTAAGTTGAAAAGTTCCATTGAAGGTAGTTGAGAGATTCGACGAAGGGCAAGGCTAAGAGGATCGGCATTTCTTGGGGACGCCATGCAGTCTTTCTCAATCATCGTAGTGGAAGGCTTTCCAAGGTGGCAGAATAGTGCGAATTGATCGACTGACGAGAACGGGGTTGCGTTCAACGCCCTCGCCAACGCATCTCTATACTTCGTTGGGGAATCTTCCGTTTGCTCAGCACGAGAATCCATGCAAAGTCTCAACTTCGAAAACCCTCGCATTGAGCGAAGCAACGATCTAATCGTTTCGGGATCGAGAAGATACCTTGGTAGCTGAAACTTTTGATGCATTCCAGTGATGGAATCTGTTGGTTGGTCACCCCGGAGAACTTGAGAGATTGACCGCGTGTGGGAAAACACTTGACCTCTCTCGGGTCGCGCATCCAGTTGGGAACTCCATTACAATCCCATGCCCTCCCATCAAAATCAGCGGGGATACCCGGTGCCGTGACGTGTACGACTAAATGTATGCTGCTTTCAAGCTCTTGCTCCCATGAATGCAAAAGTCTCATGAGATATAGCATCTTATTGGTGAAGGCTTCGTTGTTCTTGGACGCCTTGTACTCGAATTCAGCCTCATTATCGTGATCATTCAGGATCTCCGGGAGTCTGATGTGAACAACCAAAAATTCCAAGCAGGCACGACGGCGCGATCGGTCGTATCGAGCCTCGAGCGACGCGTATTCATCTTCGTCAGTGTAAACAGTGGCGTCGGCTAGGATCTGCTCAATAGAGTGGCGCAAAGCCCTGTTCACGCTCTCGAAAGCCGTGAAGTCGGAGGGCTCGAGGTGCTCCGAGATTGTGGTGATGATCTCCAGTGGTAATGTGTCCATCTCGCCGGTGAAAAAGCCGAATGGCCAACTTTGTCTCGAGAGCGATTGGAAGTTGATATTTTAATGTATTTAATTTCGAGTTGGAGGGCAAGATCTCGTGTCAAGAGGGTTTTATACTTTCGGGACTCCGAAGTCACGACCCAGTGAATCGGCGCGGAACGCCGTGATGTAGAGAATGGCGGTAAATCACTATTCGACCAGCCAAGCGAAATCGTCAAAACTCCAAGCGCAACTGCGAAAACCAAATATTCCGACCTCTAAGCCAACTCAATACCAAATAGAAATTCAGCCATAAAACACTCTATAAATAGCTGGTTGGCCAAATAAGTTGTTCGATACGGCGTTTACATTGCTTGAGTAGGTAGTTACATGAACTCGTCGCATTGATACATGGGCGTCCCTTTGAAAGTAAAGACCAACTTCACAGTCAGCACCGCAGTTCCGAGACTTGAACCTCAATATGTTTCAACTAGTGGAAGTTACTAGCTCACATGTTCTTATCTACAAGGGAATTGTGCTCAAATGTCATCAAGTCTCATCCGCCTAGGTTGCTAACGGCAAGGGGTTGTTGTTATTATCGCACTGGCTTTCGCATATCTTCTCCCGTCGGAGATCCGCAATGGGATATCGGCATTGCCCCTTTTGGTTTCTCCGATATGTTCCGCGAGCCGCACTGAGGACATGTGTCTCCGCCGACCTGCAGAACCCCGCAACCCCACAAACATCATCCGAATCCATGTCCGTAAACACGAAGTCAATGTTGGGAGGACCTCATCCAGTGTCCACAAACTGCCATGTTCAAGTTCATCAACACGACGGATGGCCGTCCGCAAAAGCGCAAACAAGCGCAGCATGCGTGCGAGACGTGTCGGAAGCGAAAGGTCAGTCCGAAGAGGCCCACTCAAGGGCCCTCGCTAATGCTCGCGCCGCAAACATCACGGGATGGCCCTCTTGCTGGAGCCGATGTCAATCGGCCAATCGGAGCGCATCTTTCTCTGATGACCGCCGTCGGGATGTTCAGAAAGAGTAAGCTGACTGAGGGTTAGAAACGATGTGAGCATCTAGATAACGCCGTCGCGTCTCCGCCCAAGACTCCCGATTCGGAGTCGGCGCGTGGCACGGCACGTCCGAGGCCAGCGCGGCGGTCCTCGGATGCTATCTCGGCCGCTGTACTGGCCGCCCCGAGGCCAACGCCGGCTCAGGCCCGGCCGCCGCCCAGTCCAACGACTACGGACTCGCGTGATCGACCGCGTCGATCCGTTGACGCCCAAGAACCTCCATCCCGTCACCAAACGGTTGATGACGACCACGGCCAGCATGACGATGCCCGGTTCGTCGGTGATTTGAACCCCGAAGGTGCCTTTCTCGCCGACAGCCCGGGAACAAGCCGCGGGTATGCAAAGTCAAATTCCGTAGGCGTCTGGTATTCCCGCCGAAATGTGAGGGGCAATGAGATCAGCACAGAAGTGGCATCCGCTGTCTCAGCTGATCATGCCGAGCACCAATTCCTCGCTGTTCTTCCGAGGAGGGCCTACTACGAGAAGCTAGAGAAGATCTACCTCCGTGATGTCCACAGGATATTCCCCGTCCTCAACCTAGACATTCTCAAGAAGCCAGTCTCAACCACATCGCAAATCCTCTGTAAACAGGCCATCTGTCTGGCCGCAGGATCCAGTCCCAGCGCCAAGCCATTCCTGAGTCTCGGAGAAGACTCGACCATCATTCTGACCTATCCAGAATTTGCCCAGCGATTATCATCCGCCATTCGCAAAGCCATCGGTCTAGGATTGGTAAAAGACAGAGTCCAGACAGCGGCAATCCTCGTGATTCTCTCGCTGTACACCCATTTCTCCGAGGATCGGCATCTTTCAGCAGAGTTGGCCGCGCAGTCTGTCAGCAACGCGCAAACAGTCGGGCTTCACCTTCAAAACCCACCGGCAAGAAATGATGACCCAGCCTACCTCACTCGCCTGTTTTGCTGTGTATGGGCTACGGACATACTCACCGCTGCCTTTCATGGCCGGCCTGTGATGATACACGAACGCGACCTTGGCAGGGATGTACAGGCGTGCATCCGAGAGCAAGATAGCTGCTTCCGCCTGTTTCTTGACATCGTGGCACTGTTGGGTCGAATAATCGATCTATATCGCCCGGCTCAGAAGACTTCGAGTTGTCTTGTCATGGAAGATCTCCCCAGTTTTGAGTGTCTGGTTGAAAGGGCCCATGCGCTTCGCGTCGATTCTCGACTGCTGGGTAAGTTGATCCATGACGAGATTACGGGACGCTTTCAGCTGACCATGGCCAGGATCCCTTGAGCTTTTGTACCATGCCATCGCCATTCTCTCATGCAGAGTACCGGTTGGACCGTCACCATCTGAGCACGCATCCTTAGCATATACGCGCCAATCCCTGTCCGCCATCAAAGTAACCACCATTGTGGAAGATTTCGGCTCCTCTCTATCTTACATGACATTTGTGCCATACGCCGTATCATTATCGTTGAGAGTCGCTTATCGAGAACTCCGATCCTGTAAAGTTCCGATGCTGACCGTCAGATCTCGACGGCAGCTCCAGGCAATTTGTCGAATACTCAGAGATCTTGGTGGCATGTTTCGATCGGCGTTGGTAATGGTTGATCTTGCTGAGCAAGTCCTTCAGGAGATGGATCAGGTCTGCTCGAATGCGGCCAACAAGCAGGATGAACAAGGGGCAAACGGAACGAATGCAGCGAATACTCCTCGCCAGGAGGGCCCGCCTGATCAACAAGGGCCCGAAGCTGGAAACAACGCAGTAGTTAGCACGTTTCCAGAGCAGCAAGGGGACCTGATAGCGACTTTCGACCCATCTTTCTACGAAGGCCCTGCTGGCCTCGACGTTTTCGAATACTTCGATCCTAGCTTCGACCTCAATGCCATCGACGCCATCTTGGGAGGTGACGCACCTCCTGAGTTCGGCAATATGGCACCCATGCCGTAGGTTGACCACTCGAGTTCAACTAGGAGATACTCCAGTCATACAGTCGATTTCTCGGCAGAGGTGCCGTATCTTTCAGCGTTCAATCAAAGAAAAAAGGTTAGGTGAAAGAAGACTCTGGGAAGCAAAAGGTTTTGAGCACCAAGAAGATTTCAGAGATAGCTGTAGGGGAGAAACAGTGCCCACCCTTAGTCCAATCTCGAAGAGAAACTATGATACCAACTGCTGGGCAGATTGCTTCCGATCCCGCAAGGCGGCGCCTGTCGGAGATAGACCCAACCCCTTGCATATCCATGATCGGCTGCTCCAAACACTTTCCCACTAGGCGAAATGAAGATGGTGTCTAAAGCACCCACATACCGCTTCTAATAGATATAGCCTGAGGTAGCTGCCCAACTTCGACTCTGGTCTCAGACCTCCTTGTCGGAGGCGGACTACCAGAAAAGGAAATCCAGGCGCCCGCTTTCACACCAGACACCCGGCAGTCAGCATAATTCCCAGCAGCATGGAAAGGTGTAATTTCTATTGGCTACCACATTCCTTTTCGAATTAAGCTTTGACTCCGCTCTATCAGTATCTTGCGCTCCCCATGGGGTCTCCGCGAGATCCTCCGGGCGGAGTCACGATGTTAACCAGTCGCATCAGGGGGACGGCACATCGTCTCGTCCTTTTTAGCCATATAAATACCTAGCCTTCTTCAGCGCCAAGTCACGAAAGATTCGGTTGCACAATTCTCCCCCTTTCAATCTTCATCCCGTTTTTGCACTGACTATCTCATGGCGATTCTCAACATCAATATTAGCTGGAAACAGCACAAATGGCCTCTATTCTACTGTCTCGTTTCTCTAATCGGAGCTTTTGCGTATGGATATGATACCATCTACTATACAGGCATTCAGGGCATGGCTCCCTTCATCCGAGACTACGGACACCAAAAACCTGATGGCACCTACGAACTTGGAACAACGTTTCTCTCCGTCACGGCCTCTCTAATCTACGTTGGAGAGTTCTGTGGCGCCCTGATCACGGCTCCTATCAACGACAGATGGGGACGAAAGACTGTCTTTGCATCAGCATCTGCCTGTATCGTTGCCGGTGCCATCGTTCAAGTCTGTTCCTTCGGTAATTACGGCGTGTTTTGTCTGGGACGCGTTCTGATCGGTCTGGGCATCGGCCAGTTTACCGCAACATGCCTCATCTACATCAGCGAAGTTGCGCCATCACAGATACGCGGCCCGGCTCTTATGATGTTTCAGTTTATGCAGTCATGGGCTCAGCTTGCCGTGGCCTGCATCACTCAGGGGACATCGAACATCAATAACGCCGCGTCCTATCACATACCCATGGGTTTGCTCGTTGTCCTCCCAACAATCATGCTGATTTGCCTCCCGTTCATCCCCGAGACACCGGTCTGGTACAGTCACAAGGGTCATCACGACAAGGCAGAAAAGGCTCTTCGCAAGATCAACCGAGGCGTTCCTAACTACGATGCCACGAACGATCTCCAGCTCATCAACGAACAAGTCCGACTGGAGTTCGAGTCGACAGCAGACTCAAGTTGGATGTCTCTCCTCAACGATCCGATCGAACGAAGAAAGTTGATATTTTCATGCGGAGCGATGTTTGCCCAGCAGATCAACGGCATACAGTTCTGGTACACATATGGGGTGGTCTTTGCGCAGTCGATAGGGGTAGCTCAGCCTTTCACAATCAACACCATCACCAACGTCATTCAGATCTTCGCTGTAGGAGCTTCAGTGCTATTGGGTAACAAGATTCGCCGCCGAACGAACCTCCTAGTTTGCACGGTGGGCATGTTTGTCTCTCTGATTGCCGTCGGCGGACTCGGCACGACCAACCCCGGCGGCCCTTTCTCTCAGGGTGTCGGGACCGCAATTGTCGTTTTTGCATACATCAACATTGTCTGCTTCAACTTCTCCATTGGAACCTTGTCGTACACCATCGCCTCTGAGATGGCGGTTGGCCGGAACCGGAACAAGATCACCGCATGTGCTATTGGGGTGTTCTTCTTCACAGTCTGGATGATGGTCTTCGTCAGTCCATATCTTTACTACACTGCTAATTTGGGTCCGATGCTTGGCTTTGTGTACGCTGGGACGACTCTCTTTACTCTGGCATACGTGTGGTTCTGTGTAGGAGAGACGACCGGCCGGACAAATGCAGACATTGACCGGTTGTTCTTGGAGAAGGTTCCTGTGAGAATGTGGGACTCCTACATTTTCCAAAATGCAGAGGCAAAGGGCGATGGGATAGTTGAGCAGGTTGAGACACATGAAATGGTGCAGAAGTCGATGGCATAAGTAAACTTACTTACGCCAGCCATTAGAGAACGCAATAGCCAATGTCACAAAGATAATCATTGAGCTTTATGAAATCAAATTCCGTGCGTTGTCCTCAATGCGTGACTTCAATTTAGTTCTTGTGCTAATGAACAGCCGCCAGAACTCCATGCTGACTACTGCTGGCCTTTCCCAACACACCACCGATCCGAGTCGCGTCTGCAAATTGTCTTGTGACAGAGTGGGGAATTGATGTTGGACCCTTCGGGCTCACACTGGCATTTGTTCCAGCTTGATGGCATGCCTTTGGTCCATAGTCTGCTGGGTAGTCTACGCGTGTGTGCATTGTGCTCCAGTTGTCCCATAAGAGTAGATCCCCCTCCTCTTCAGGGGGAACTAGAATATACTCTGGCTTCAAGATTCGTGACTGGATGTCAATCAAGAAGCGACGAACCTCAGAAAGTTCGGTAATGACCTTCGGCTCTTCGTCTGCACTCCGACGTAAGTAGAGCTTTTTGGCAGCGTTGGCCTGGACTTGGAAAGACTTCCGACCGGTCTCAGGGTTCACCCAAACCATTGGGTACTATTCAAATGTGAATTTCGGTTTTTTGAGTGCATAATATTCATGTTACTTACCCTCTTGATTTTGGAATTGTCCACTCCAATGGAATCGAGTTCACTGTCAGACAGTTCCTTGCCTTGGCTAACAATGCCAAGTCCGGTCGGAAACATCTTGCAGTTTCGATTCCACTCGTATGGCAGCGCCGCGTACTCAACCCAGCTATTGTCAACAACTTCCCTCTCTTCTTCGCTAAGAAGCTCCTCGTACAACTGCGAGCAACAGAAAAATGGCGTTAGGCCTGGGGCTGATCTGATGCTTAAGCCTGATCCGTTGTCCCATGCGATGTTAACATCGGGCCCTTTGGGCAGCTTGATCACACGAAAGGCTGTGAAGATTGGCGGATCTCGACTGTAAAGCGGCGCATCGAAGTGCCATCCTTGAAACCTAGTATGACCGTTCTCAAGCTCTTCTTTTGGGAGAGTAGGATGGTGATTTTCATAAGAGAAGGACTTGGTAATATTGAGGTTCTTCAGCCCATAGTGGTCTTCGCCGAGGAACCCCTTGCCGATCACGTGGACGTTCTCAGCGCTGGGAACGCCGGTCACTCCTCTCGCTTTCTGGGTGTTTATTAGTAAGTGCTCCTCTAGTGCGAGTTCTGTACTTACCAGAATACCTCCACCGTCTGGGTGAAAATCCTTCATGAATAATTCTGGGTTTTGCGGCCCTGCGTTAGGGTCCAAGCGAGTGACTAGTTCCCATTGTTTGATTGGCTGTAGATTTTCTTGCCCCTTAATTATGATCAATTTGTGATCTACAACAGCCCTTTTGAGCTCTAGAAGATCATCATCTGTAGCGGTCATGTCAATGTTACCAAACGATCCTAACTTTGTCACACGAAGGATCATACCTGATATGTTATTGATGTCGAGCCCGTTCACTTTGGCGCCAAACTGTCACCGAGTGTTAGTTGTGGTTATGATATGAAATGCTTTGGCGACGGAGTATGACCTTTGTCTTCTTGCCGACATCATGCCGGAATGGTTCCAAGACGAAACCCATATTTCGGTTGACTAGTAGGATTTACAGACGAGACTGGCGGCTTCTGACTTGCTTTTGATTTCGTTCTGCTTTTGATAAGAGTATCCCACAGATAATCGAAGCGTGAAATCTGGAAGAAGACCTTCCTGCATGAATTCGTGTACTTGAGCGAAACGCATCGTTAAGCGCATCCCCCGGATAACTCGGTGCCTACCCCATCACCTTTCCGTCATTTCTTCTTATCCAATCACAAAAGTTCCGAAGGACTCATATCATCGCATTTGCTTGGAACCTTAAACTACAATACCGACAGCTATCAGACGAAGGCTTGCGATCGAGTGCTTGCCGATGAGAAACTTTGTTTCGAGGGGTAACCATGCATAGTGGTATCCGATATCTCTCAGAGTCTTAGTTGGCATGACCCAGTTGTCGGATGTGCCCCGATCCCCCGACAGTCGGAGAACAACCGCGCAGTCTCGAGACACTCAATGAGGCCATCAAGTTGAAAGATTACGTCAGAAGCAAGTCTGCAGCAAAACCAAGTTCAAGGTCAATTTGCCACATTGACTGACGCTGTCAATTAGCAGATGATTATCAACACAGCGAGAGGGAAAATAATTGAAAATTCATGTTGGCTACATAAAGCGCAATATTTGTGATGAGAGATTTCAAAAACGGCGTCAAATATTTAGCCTAAGCTGCCTGCCTCTTTCGTACCATGATCTTGGCATTTCTATCCATGACCACGGCAATTCCCCAGTACCCAGCATCTGGTCTCTTTCCGCTACTTAGCTTCACATCGTAGTTGAGCAATAGATGAGCCAGAATGACTTTCATCTCAGCAATTGCGAAGAATCGCCCAGGACATGAGTGAGCTCCGTGGCCAAATGGTAGGTTGTCCGGCCCAGTAGTTGCAGCAAGATATTTGTTCGGAAGACCCTGCTCTTCACGCCGCTGACTAAATCTCAAGGCGTCAAAGGCTGAAATGCCTGCGTCGTTTTGAACATCGCGTGATCTATGAGCGTGGTACATGTCAAAGTAGACGGTCGTGTCTTTTGGAACTATACTTCCATCATCCAGCTCCAACGGCGATGTGGTGATGCGACCCATTGCGACTAGACAATCATTTTGTTAGCTTTTGCGATGAAAATGCGTAAGAGAGACACACCTAGAAATGGGGCATAGACTCTGGCCGACTCTCGAAGTAGACTGTCCAATTTCGACATGCTTCTCAGCATTCCCATATCCCAGGTACCTCCAGGCGCATCAGAGACCAATGAAGACACCTCGTTTCTCAGGGTCTCAGAGTAACTTGGCTCCGATGCAACGTCAAATATCGCATTTGTAAGCGCCTGTGCGACGGTGTCTGCGCCTGCCAAAGCGGCTCGAAGCTGCATCCTGGCGAGCAGTTTAGCATCATTACGACGTCTGTCGTCAAGTCGCTTTCGAATGAAATTTGTCAAAGTGCACGCCCCAGTGTCTTTGGTATCAGACTCGTGAATAGTAGCTCTTAATAACTCGGCGACCCGATGTCGTCTTGCGGAAAAGCCAATATGATGGAAAATAAACGGGTGGACGAATGGTCGAAGCCACGGATGCCACCTGTTGAGAGCGTCAAATGCTTTCCGAAGATCGGCAGAATAATTGAATGCAATGTTTTGCCATTCCGGGTTCCTCGCTAGGTCACAGCCCACGAAAGCAACGGCGTTCGAAATGGTCACAATTTTCTTAACGAAGCTGAAAGCTGTCACCTCCGTCCAATCCTCATCTCCTTGAAGCTCAAGGTGTTGTTTGAAAGCGCCCTCGACTTCTCTTTGAAGAATAGGAACCAGATCTCGCACATGACGTGTGAGGTCGACTTTGATGGCATGGAACATTTCCGGCATGGGAGTTCCCAAGTCGGTATATTGCCCCAGGCCACGACGGCATACTTCTTTGTCCGCTGACAGCTGCGATTCCGGAGCTGACTTGAGCTCATTTATGAGTTTGTGGGGGAGTACAACAATCGGTGGCTCTGATGGGAGCACAAACGCCTTATCAGGGTACTGCAACACGTCAATATTCGTTCTTTACCGTGTCTGCATATGTTAAAGGGGAATTTACCAAATCTCGACCCTCGGCAAGTGCCTTCCTGAAGTCTTTGTCTGTCTTCCTTCCTGCCACGGGCAAGGACAGCCTCTTTCTCGGCCTCGTTTCCCAGTGAGCCAGAAGGCTTGCCAACAGAGCGGCTACCAAAAGTAGTCCACTCAGCGCATATGTTTCGCTGCGTACTGAAACGTTGAAAACCAAGAATGAAGTAGCGTCTATCATTTTAGTTGAAATGGATGTCTAAGTGCAACGCTTCGAGAATGAGAGAAGAAGATCTGGAGCAAGCGGCTCAGGATTTCACACGGTAGGAGCGGTAGACTGTGCGGAATTGAATTTAGTTCAGTTCTCCTCTGTCTTGATACACGCGTTCTTACTCTCAATCTAGCAGTAGAATCATCGTATGGGTTCTTCTGTGTCCGTGTCCAGTATCGATATCGAGAGTCGGGTGAGTCGAGCTGATGAGAGGGGCGGAGGGCAATGACCAATCGGTTCAACTGCCGCGGTTGTTCACAGCTCCATTGGCCTACCACCTAGGTCATCGGTGATTTCCAAACCTAATTGAAGCAAATTGCCGTTACGACTGAAGTTCGTATCCCAGGCCATCTCTGCCCTTCAAACCATCGCAACCTGCGGTCAGGGACAATGCCAAATCATGGAATACGTCCGGCTGACCCCTAACCATGCAGGAAGTAGGTCTTGCTTCTTCTATCCTTCCTTGTACCCATGTGCTCCGCATGATCGGATGATAAGCGTTCCCCGGAACAAACTCTTTTCGCACTAACTTTTGCTACGGTTTATAAGGATGTGGTTGATATATTGAATAGTGACATGCACATTCTTACGAATGACGTTTTCCGCTATGACTTGATGGTACGTTGTCGGATTCGTTCTCGCAAACCTTGCCGTCAATTTTAGCTTCCGCTCCCTTGTGATAGAGATAGTATTATCCAGTAAGGCTTCCTGGCTGTGAACACAGCTCTGGCTGTCTGGTCGGTAACTACGCACTAGCTTCCGTTGGTTTTTTTTTTAACCTCGATGCGACTGCCTTTCTTCTGATGCGTTTAGAGAATGATAGTATTCAGGAAAAAGGTAGTCGAGTGAGAGTCGTTGTCAATTGGTGCGCCTCCAGGCGGCAAACTGCGAAGAAGAAAAGTTAGAAGGGAAGAAAGATTCTTCTGATGCGTTTAGAGAATGATAGTAGTAAGGAAAAAGGTAGTCGAGTGAGAGTCGTTGTCAATTCCTCTGATGGACTCGGCAGTAATTGCGACTTAGGGTGAATGTCTGGAACAAATTAGATCTAGCCTGTCAATACAAACTTGAGATCTTTCCACTTTATTCTATTCTATGTGTAGAAAGGTCTTCAGTTGGTATCAAAAATCTTGGTGATCTCTTCCACAGTGTAACCTTTTGTTTCCGGAAATGAAACCCATGCAACCACAAGACCCACCAGAAGAATCGAAACATACACCAGATAGTACTTCCATCCCAGATCTGCCATTGCCACAGGATTGGCGTATTGCCCAGCTGCGGCGCTGGCCATGGTTATGAAGTAGTGGAGGGCAACCGCTTTAGCTCTCAAGTAAAACGGGCATATCTCCGCAAGATAGGTTGTTCCTAGCGGCGCATATCCGCTGTCGAATCCCAATTGAAAGATGAAGAACATCACAACCACCGCAGACCCAGCTTCGCTCCTTGATGTGACAGAAAATTGCTGCGTCGCAACTGTAAGACCAACCATAGCTAGCAGCATGGTAATTGTGGAAAACAGAAACAAGATTCGTCGTCCTACCTTATCAACAATAGTTGCGCTGAACAGAGCGATCACAAAGTTGAAGGTTTGGAGCCCACCGTTGATGCCAGCTTGCTGCAAAGGCTGCCTGATGCCAACAGACTTGAGTGCAGCGGCGAAATAGTAGGTTATGATGCCACCCCCGCTCCATTGAGACATCAGCGAGGTAACAACCACGATGAAAAGACGTTTTCGATTTCCAGCGGTTTGGAAAAACGCCATCCATGAAGCTTTCTGTTGATGGTTCTCATTCTCGAGGCTGCAGCAAATCTGGTCATATTCGGCTTGCACCAGCTGATCCGACTCGAAGCCATTGGCATGATATTTTGCCAGGATCTTGCGGGCGCTTATTGCGTCTCCTTTGGCTACAAGCCACCGTGGAGACTCAGGTACGAGCATCATCAACGGCAACTGCAGCAGAGGAGGTATAATCTGAATGATAACTGGCAGACGCCAACTCCACTCACTCATCAGGTGAAGGCTGCCGTACGTGAACCATGCCGATGCTACAGTGCCGTTAGTTTTTGAAGCGGTCCCAGGATACATATTTAGATTACCTGTTGCGCCTACATAAAAGAATGAGGAGTAAGTTGCGACGAGAGAGCCTCTCTGTCGTGGGTGGGCAAGTTCCGTCAAAAGGACAGGACCTAAGCAGACTATGATGATGCCGCCAACTCCCATCTTCCACGCGTTAGCATTTTTCTTGAATATCCGGTGAGGTACTCACCAGAAATCGCGTCATAACGTAAAGACGCGCACTATAGCAGAAAGTCTGCCCAATAGCTGCCAGGGTATTAAATTTCGCTGGTAAACCGTGATAGGGGTCCCGGATAATACCTGTTGCAATCATTACTACATCCCCTATCATGATGACCTTGCGTCGCCCAATGATGTCCCCCAGCAGGCTCACTACCCAAAACATTAAAGCGCCGCCGATGGAGTAACCAGCCACCATGATTCCGGTGAGATTTGTGTCCTTTGAAGAAAACCCAAGATCTATCATTATCTTAGAATCGTCTCACAGACACGGCTGAGATAGCCCCTTACCTTTGTACCCTGTCTCAGTGTCTCGTGTCAGTTTTCTCCTCGACTGCAACTGATAACATTGATAATGTGCACCTACATTGAGGTATCGTCAACAACCCGCCAATGAGTGCACCATCATACCCTATCATCACTGGGGAAAGAAAGATAGGCAACAGCCTTAAGTTCAGCTCTCTCAACCCGCTGTCTTTCCACCATTGCCTGTGGCAGTTATTTTCTTGTTCGCCTGCTACAGCTGTTATGGCGATGTCGTCTTCTGTCAATCGAGTCTTCATTGTCTTCATGGTTCCTGATGCACCGAACGTCTATACAGTGGGCGAAAGGCGGTAGCGGTGCAAGAGCGTAGCAACGATGAAGTTATCGAGAGGGGAAACAGAAGGCACCATGTCAGGAAACTTCCGCATCGGATGGCAGGAAGACATAGGTCGGGAAATTCCAACGGCATTTCCGAGGCAATCCTCTATGAGACGAAGCCTCCAATCATGCGTATTTCGGCGGCAACCGCAACAAACTCAATCAAAGCTGGGTCTTGCTTCAAACTCTAATAGGTTTGAGTCTATCAGCACTCTGATAATACTTCGGGGTTAACTTGCCCGATTTACGAGGCAAAGCTGGAAAACCCCTTCGTTGTCAGGTCAAGAACCACCTATAAAGATTTCCGGTTTTGCCGGGGTCGGCAGCTTGTTCACTCCCTTATCCACACCTACTCTGTCTTGCTGTGCTGAAACACGACACTTCACAACCCATGATGGCCGACAACTGCGTTGCCTCCGATCACCATCCTTGTGAGTGGAGGCTCGACTCACCCGGGCGATATTCCCGAGAGCAAGACACCAGAGAAAAGCTCGTCATGCGTCAGGTATATGGCATACCGGGCAAAATCAATTACTACATGATATTTGCTATCCAGCTTCGGTACTCGTTGTCAGACGCCGACGCCGAGTCTAGAGCTCGGCAAGCTTGGATCGCCCTACGTTGTGCGCAGCCCTCCATAGCGGCTACTGCCAGAGGCAGTCGCATGGAATACTCTATCCTTCAGCCAGAAGGTTCGGATGTTTGGGTATCGAACACATTCTCCGTTCACCACACGGCAGATTCAGCTCTATCCTTATCACGGAAAATACAACCTAATTCCGACGTCCGTCTACACTTCCTACCTGGCACCAAGGAACTACTACTGTGCGCATCACACGAGCACGCCGATGCTCATGGAATGTTGATGTTATTGGATGCGCTCTGCGAATACATGGCATTCCCATCCACACCAAAGTTCGACGCGCAATCAGACCGGCTGTCGCCCCCACTGGATGTTGCAGCGGATATCGGAAAGGCATCATCTCGGATAAAACAGTGGACTGCGGAGAAGCTGCAAGAATGGAAGGCTAGATCTGATCATTCGTTGTGCATATCCGCAGACCATTCTGGACCTGGGGTTAGCGAGGTTGGCACTGTTCGGCTTGCACTGACAAGCAAGGAGTCTTTGGCTGTTTTCACGTCCGCCAAGACCAGCAACGTATCTGTCAATGACCTGATGACGGGCGCTACTATTATGGCTGCGAAGAAATTCGGGGGCAACGCTCGCGGTAATTGGCTAGGAGGGGTTACTTTGGATGCCAGGGGCAGCTGCATCACCGACTCCAATCTGCAACAACACGCAGCCACAATCTATTTCGTCGCATGTCCGGCATTCATCCACGATCCATCATCACTTTTGGATGCAGCGAGCCAGATTCAAGAACAACGCCTACACTTTCAGAGTGACCCCGAGGCTCTGCACATTTCACAGGCCATGCTTGAGCTTATGAAATCAAGTGGAGCTCGAGTCCAACAGCATCAACCTCAACAAGTTGCTAGCTCTCAAGTAGAATATAGCGGTCTGGGCAAATTGGACGCGTGGCTGCAGCCATGCCATGGAGAAATCGAGATTGTAGACTTCTGGCTCAGTCTCGGTCACGTCACCACGGCGATCGGCGTATATTGTTATACCTACTGCGGCCGTTTGTGTTTCACGCTAAGCTACAACCCTGGTTTTCACAGCAGAGAGAGCATGAATCGATTCATGGAAGTATTGAGAGGTGCGGTAGCTAATCATCTTGCCGATGGATTTTGAATCATCGGCAAAGCTGGGCTTGGTCTTTGTCGGAGGTGATGAGATATTCTACTCTTTAGCTTTTAGTTCCAGAAGAAACTAACCAACGTTTCATAGCCTCGCAAACATCCATGATTCTGCCCCCGCCATATGACTCGAAGCTATGGCCTCGATTTGCACCGTGATCATGTCAGCAAAAACTCAATCATATCAGTAGCTGTTCTAGGTGAGCTATGGGCACTAATATAATGACTCAACATCTGTGATGTAGAGAAATGTCCGAAGTATTTGCCCCGTTGTTTCAACGAGTTCCTATGGGATTGATATGTCACCATCCCAGTCCTGCCTCGGACCGGGGCCACAAACGGCTGTCCTGGGTGTGTTGTGGGTTCAAGCTGCTCCGTCAAATCGCCGCTTATTCGCGGTATATTGATGTAAGATAAGTCATTTCATTCGTCTCATTTGGAATGGAGAAGCGAGAAGTGAGCAAACTGTGTCACCCTCAGCTTACATGATGAATTCACCAATTGCCAGATACACTTCTATCGAAGTCCGTTATGTCCCCAATAGCAGTAGTCTCATATTGAGTCCCATATCTGAACAACATGTCGACTACCATGGAACTCTGAAATGGCTTTACGCATTGGTAAGTGGAACTTGACTTTTGAATGACCCAAGAACTTATCAGATAAACAGATTCTTTTCAGCCTGGTGTACTCGGTGATTTACAATCTCTGTCTCAGCCCCATTGCGAAAGTTCCGGGCCCGCTCTTTGCAAAAATATCTCCAGTAAGCCATTTTTGGGATTCCTGTCAAAGGACATCTCCTAATAACCAAATAGTTATGGCTTATGGGCGCTGTATATCGAAGACGCCTTAATCGCGATATCAAAATGCTGCATGAGAAATACGGTATGTTCCTTATCATCTCTCTCACTAGACGTTGCTGACACTGCAGGCCCTGTTGTTCGTCTTTCGCCCACTGAGCTTTCCTTCGCTACCATAGCGGCCCAGAATGCGATTCATAGGCCTGGAGGCTCAGCGAAAGAGTATGCCTTTTTCACCAAAGAGGGAACACTGGAAGCCATGATGGGTGATATCATCTGGCCAGCAACGAATCTCCTCACAGTCACAGATCCTCAAGAGCACCAACGCTTGAAAAAGGCTCTGCAGCCAGCTTTCACGAGCAGTGCATTACGTTCCCAAGAGAGCATACAGAAGGCCCACGCAAACGTCATGATTTCAAATATCAAGAAATCTGCTACAAGAAGAAGCTGCATGGATTTGACTCCATTGATGTCTCAGGCCATCTGGGATATTATCAGTGACCTATCATTCGGCGAACCTTTGCTCAAAGATCAGCTTGGTAAGGTCCTCCATTCTCCGAGACAATAGCACCAACTAACAGCCCCAAAGTAAAATTTGAGACACTCAAAACAACATTCTGCGCAGTCAGTCCATTGCTCGAGGCTTTGCAGGTCTTGCTAGCTGTACCGGGAGCACAGGCATTTGCGAAAGCCTGTGTGAGTTTGGTGCCTCTACTTTTCTGGCTCCCGACCAGGGTTTTGCCTTCAGCACAGCTCAGAAAGTAAGTGAACTTTCATTCCGTGCACTCCTTATCGGTTTTCTCTAACGCAATTCACTGATAGACGGCTCGATCGCCAAGATCAAAACGAAGACTTTTTAACCGCGATCATGAGATGCAGAGAACTGGGCATAAGCATGACAGATAAAGAGCTCCAGAGTAACGCCTCACTTCTCGTGTAAGATTACAAGACTCTGTGCAATATTCATGCTAACAATAATCTCGCAGTATGGTTGGATATGATACTACTGCTACATCCTTGTCTGCTACTATGAACCTGTTGTTGCGCAATCCCAAGTATCTGAGGGCGCTCAAAAAGGAACTGCAAAGTCACTTCAATTCATTCGATGAGATGACAGCAGCATCCTTGTCTCAGCTTCCACTGCTCAATGGTTGCATTCAAGAGGCTCTCCGCCTTTTCCCTCCGGCAAATGGTAAAGGCACTAACAGGACATCGCCCGGTGCTTTCATCGATGGAATATATGTCCCAAAAGGCGTGAATGTCTCCGCCGACATGTACACCATCCAAAGATCTCCTCAGTACTGGTCCAGGCCTGATGTGTTTTGTCCTGAGAGGTGGTTTGACAACGGACCTGGTACAGAGTTTGCCAACGACATTCGGTCTTCTCATTGCCCATTTCTCCTTGGACCGAGAATGTGCATTGGTCGGGCCGTCGCTCTACAGTCCATGCGATTCATAATTGCAGGAATGGTGTGTGAGCTCGAGCTAGAAGCTGTGGGGCAATATGATTGGGATAACGATGTATCCAATTCATATCTTTGGACAGACTACAGATGTTTCGCTGAGGTCAGCCAACTCCTATAGTTCCATTTGTAGAGAGTCTCCCAGGTAGATTTGTACAATTCAAAATAAAAGGGTTTAACTTTGCACTTTGCTACTTGCAGACATGTTGAAGCATAAAATGCGGCAAAGTTTGTACCCGCAGGATTGCAGTTTGCATTGGACACTCAACGATTGCGAGGATTAATCAATTGCACCTCTCACTGTCAATGATCTATAACCATATCCCTCCAATATGAGGAATGTTTGTCAATTGAGCCATGGTATGTGAAGAACTCAATGCATTTGATGTCAAATCGGTAAGACCGCATTGTAAAAAAGGTCAATTTTGGGCTTATCTAGAAGAACAACTTCTTTTATCATCTACTGTCCTGGGTTATAATCAGGGTGAGTCTTTTGGTAGTTGCGAATGATTTTCATCACGCCTTCCGGAGCCGGTACCGTCTTTACCCCCTTCGGCTTTCTCACATCAGTCTCCATCATATCCTTGACGGCAAGCTCATTATGCTCTTGAAGCACACTCTCGAAGTCCCAGCACTTCCGCCAAATATTCGTATCCGCGATCGGGCGGTTGAACTCTTCCATCCAACGGAACAGATAAACACCAGGGTCCTGCGAGGCAATCAATCAGGCTGTGAACTTAACATGGGAGGTGGTAAGACGAACATTGTGGCAAGTCAGATGCTCAAACAGAATCATGATGCAATGAGCAGTGTGGTATGCGTGAAATGGATTGTCGTCGGTGCCGTTCGGGTAGTAATGATCATAATAAACAGCCTTTTGTCATTAGCCTTACTTGACTTTTGGGGTACACCAAATAACAAACCTTTCTGATATAGTCAAGGCAATGTATGTTGTGGTACATCGCCGACTTTGCCATGTACGTTGTCTCGCCATCGACGTGGTACTTTTCGGGCATCGGCACAACGACAGATGGGTCTTTCCGCATGGCAATGATGTCTGACTCCTTGACTGGGAACAGATACTCTGCTGTTACGCGTTCCCATGCCTTGTCAACCTCTTCACTAGGTTCTGCACGCCAGATCTCCGGGCCGCCCATGCCGTATTGTGCGTAGCTTTTACGCAGCACCAAGGGAATCTCGATTTTTTCCAACACCGGAGCTGCTTCGATCAGAATTGGCGCATGCAACACGGCGGAGAATGTACTCACAATGCATGGAGATATCTTTCAGTCTCGCGTTAAATCGGTGAGAATGCTGCCAAGCAAGGAATAGACTGCCGACACCGATTTGAAAAAGCAAGAAGCTGATCATAAACATCGGGCTCTTCATTGCCTCCTTGAACGACCTGAAGGCTTGTTGAATTCGAGACCTCTTCTTGGCCCCAATCAACTCCTTTTCCATCAACGGGACGTCAGACTCTTCGCTAGACCGGCTTTCATGCTGGTTCTTTTCTGAGTCTGCCGTAGGCAGCGCCTCATAGTCTTTGGATCGAATATTGAACTTGCTAAATTGAGGCATCTTGTGCAGCAAACGTTGTTGTGTATCTGCGAGGTTCAGTGTGCCTGTGAAATTTGATCGTATGGCTGGGAGCTAAGTTCTTTGAAGATTGGTAGAAGGAAACAGTCAAAAGCTTTCTTGGAGAGTAGAGCTTTGAAGGAATATCTTCGCATGCCGTCTTTCCGGACTCTCTGACGGACCCAGGCTTTTAGGTTTGTGTCGCTATTTTCTGATATCCGATAACCTTCTTTATTTGTTCTGTGGGCTTTACAGTACGCTCCCCGACGAAAGTTTCGACGTGCATGCATCGCCAGTTTCATTTAGCCCATTTTCAACGTCCTCGTGCCGGAATGAACTACTCGGATAATTGCAAAACTTGGAATCGATAAGGATCATCCGAAGATCAGCTTTGCCACTGTACCGAACCCACGGTAGTTTTAAGTGCGCTGCAATCACCACTCCACGCGTCCGAATGACTCGGCACAGCTTTCCGCAAGGACTGGCCTCGCACTTTCGGCTTCCCTTTTCCGTGCTTGGGTCAACCTCGGGATGAAGTTGCTACATTGGGCATGTTTCTTGGCATATCACATCGTAGTTCAGCTGATCTCCTTTCCACGATGCAAAGACAGGTTCTATCAGTACTGCCAAAAACCTCCGAATAACAGCTCATTCTAAGATCCGCTCCCAAACTTACCTGTTCACATGATCTGCCAAGCTTCATCCAGTAGCCGCCACATACGCTTATGTTTCACGAATGCTTTGGACATCTAGAGTCTCTTCGGCTTCTCATTCTCCAAGATTGTGTGATGGCACAGACTTCTGGGGCGATTGTAAGCCTTAGGTAACGAAATCAATTGTTACATGTGACGCCGTTTATCCGTATCTTTCGGACCGCAAAGCAATATTCTTGTGCAATTTCCTGCTTCCTAACTCTGACAATCCGACCAGCACTCTCGGCTTGTGTAAGGTAGTCCAAAATTGCTTCTCACAGCCCAGCACAACCCCTGCAGTCTTCGTGAGACAAGATGCTTACGATGGGAGTTCTCCTCGTTATCCAGGCGGCGGTTCTGCCTCTGATCCTGGTATGTCACATCTCGCATCTCACCAGCTTTGTGTGAGATTATCATGGACCAACACTGATTGAGATAGGTTGCGACTTACTTGCTTGCATCAACAATTTACAATCTTTACCTTCACCCACTCTCTAGATTTCCCGGTCAGTAAAGTGGTGATGGATCATCACTACACTACATCACTGACATCACTGAAGGCCCTTATTCAGGCCGTGCTCAGGACTTATGGATTTCGCGTCAATGGTACAATCAAGCTTTTGAATACTCCATCTCACCTTTCATCTTGCTTACATCTCTTAGGATATCGGGCAACTGGCCTTGGGAAGTAGAGGCCTTACACGCTAAATACGGAGACATCGTCCGCATTGGCCCTAATGAGTTATCGTGCGCGCATCCGCAATCGATCAAAGACATTTATGGGCAGTCCAACATCAACCATCCTCAGTTCTTTAGGAAGTTCACAACTTTCTACAAGCAAACAGACGTGGGCGGGTCCATCGGCACCGAAGTTGACCCACATGTACACCAAACCATCCGGAAACGGCTGGCGCCCGGCTTCAGTGCAAGCGCTTTAAGGAAGCAAAGCGATATCATCATACGGCATATCGATTCTCTACTCGATCAAGTCTCGAAGCACGGTGCCAGCCCAGAAGGCATGAACATGAGCCAATGGTTTATGTGGCTTGCATTCGACGTGATTGTCGACCTTTCCTTTGGAGAAGAGCTTGGAACGGTTGAATTAGGTGAGCTTTTGTAAGCTGACAGTATCGAAACCTAAAAGCTAAATACATGAGCCACAGGCCAGGGCAATGATTGGATCAACATGTTAGCCAACAGCGGTTTCCAAATAGCCTTGGGCTACGTAGTCCGTCGTCGATGGAAAGCATTGCAAGACGTCGTACGATCCTGTCTTGTAAACGAGAAGAGCAAAGCGATGCGAACTAAGTATATCGCCAACGCTCGAGAGAAAGCTAGTCGTCGGCTTCAAAGGGGAGCAGATGTAGAACGTTTTGATTTCTTCAGCCACTTGTTACGCGACAAAGCTCCTGAAGCAAATATTGACTTTTTCGCGTCTCAAGGCACTACGCTGGTTGCTGCTGGTACCGAGACCACGTCAACCTTCATGTCTGCGCTCACCTACTATCTGCTTCAAAATCCGCGAGCCTTGCATCGACTTCAGGAGGAGCTTCGACATACCTTTCGGCAGCACACGGAGATCGATGGTGAATCAACGAAATCATTGACGTATCTCAACTCAGTCATTGAGGAGGGCATGCGTGTATTTGCTCCTGCTCCGTTTGGTCTGCCTAGAGTCAGCCCAGGGGCCGAGGTCACGGGAGAGTGGATACCAAAAGGGGTGCGTTTACCTACCTCGTCATTACCATTGGTAGCAACCGTACTGACATGCCAGATTTAGACTGTTATTTCAACTGCAGCACATGTAACTTCTCGTGACGAGAGATGGTTTTATAAAGCCAAGGAATTCCATCCAGAGAGATGGCTATCTCAAGAGCACCCACACTATGAGCCCATCTTCTCCAATGACCGGAAGGAGGCTTCCAAGCCCTTTTCTGTTGGTTCACGATCCTGTATTGGTATTCACTTGTCCTACATGGAGATTCGTATTTGTGTTGCAAAACTGGCGTGGAGCTTCGATTGGGAACAGGTGAGCGAACATGAGGATTTTGTCCGGGATGCGCGTTTGCTGGGACTTTGGAAGGCCGCGCCATTCCATGTGCGCTACCTCCCGTTTAAGGGGCTTGAGGTTTAAAAATTGTAGAATCATGAACTATATGATCAAATCAGGTCGTTGTTCATATCTCTTGAGAATGTTCACTGTCCATTAGTCGTGACTAGGGTCGCAATAAAACCATATGTAGTACCCAAAACCACCTACCCACAGGTAATCCATAGGTACCCATGTGACCCAAACTTTACTATAGATAGCAAAGAAAACGACATTATTAACAGCAGCCATTTTCTCGTGTTTTTGCACAATAATTAACCATTCTTAGAAGGTTTCACTTAGTTATAATAAGTTCCAAACTTTCATTTCAATATTCTTAGCTATTTTAAAGTATTCTCCCTTCATAGCTATTTATTACAACCCATAAACAAGGATAATAGCTAAACAACCTACTTAGGCGTTAGGCAGCTAGGACAGGATATTTATACTATAGGATTATAGGAATAACAGGGATTTACTTAGAAATAGAAGAACTATAGAATAAGTTATATAATAATAAGATAAGATTAAGTAGATAGTATAGATTACTAAGTATTTAGTAAAAGCTACTAAGCGCTTACCTATAATTACTAAATGCTTACTAATACTTAGTTAGGAATTAATAGTTAAATAAAGAAACTATTTAAAACTTATATATAGTATAACTATAAGTTAAGCTTAAAGTTAGACTTCTATAGCTCTTTAGTAATTAACTTAGTATTTATTTTTAGGATACTCTTAGCTTACCTATACTATAAATTACTTATTAAGTCTAAGACTAATCACCTTAACCTCTAAAGACTTAATCTACTATAGCTTATAACCTATAACTTAGACTATAACCTAATATACTATTAGAATATATTAATCCCTAGCTTTTATTAGTAAACCTTACTATTAGATAGCTAACTATAATACTTTAATTACTCTTATTTAGTAAGTTAACTATTAATACCTACTAAATAGTATAGATAAGATATCCTCTTATACTTCTACTAAATCTCCTACTCTAAGATCCTCCTCTTCTTTATATAACTAGCCTTAAAGCTTAGTATAGAAACTTACTAATATTAAGGATTATAATATATTAGACCTTAAGTATAACTCTAATAGAGAAGGTTTCTTTACTAAGGAGGGATATAAATAACTCTAATATATTATTTAGAAGTAAGAAGCTAAGACTAAGGAAATATAAACTTTTATTAATAAAAATAAGTAAACTATAAATAACTTAAATAAATAACTCTAGAACGCTAGAGAAGCTTATAAGAAACTAAAAAAAAGTATCTATAGAGATACTAACCTCAAGAAGATTTAAGAACTCTAAGGAGAACTTAATACCTTCTAAGCTACTACTAATATTATTACTACCCCTATAAGAGGATATTAGAAATTTAAACTTAGTACTTTAATTACCTATAATAGCACCTCTAAGTAACTTAAACTCTACCTAATTTAAATTAAAACCTATTATAACTTCTATTATAGTAATTTCACTAACTAAACAGAGAAAGTTATCTATATAGCTACTTACTTTTATAGATAAGCCTTTAAGTAGTTTAAACCTATCTAAGAAGAATTCCTTAAATATAAAACCCTAGATAAATACTCTATAGAAACGCATAATATCTATAGTAGCTTTTAAGGATTTAAGGACGCCTTATAATCCCTCTTTTAAGATCTAGATGAGAAACACTAAACTAAATATAACCTCACCTAGTTATAATAGACTAAGTTAGCTAAAGAGTATACTACTACCTTTAGATAACTTAGCGTTCAACTAAACCTTACTAAAGAAACTAAAATCTTTATATTCTACTAAGAACTTAAGGATAATATTAAGGACGAAATAGTTAAGTTAGATAAACCTAAAAACTTCCTCTAGTACGCTAGTATAACTATTAAGATTAATAATTAACTCTTTAAATAAAGAAAGAAAAAAGGTAAAAAATAATAAGAAGCTAACTCTAGACATAAATACTAATAGTAACCTTAACATAAGTTTAACAACTAGTAGAATAACAATAAACCATATAATAACTAGAATAACACTTAATAAAGCACTACTTATAGATAATATAGTAGACCTATAAACCTCAGTATAATAACTAAACCTAATAATAAGAAACCTTAAAACCTTAAGTATTATAACTATAATAGATAGGGATATATCGCTAAAGATTATAAATAACCTAAAAAGCTCCCCTAGAAGCTAATAGCTAAGTAACCTTAATAAGTTAATATAATTATAAAAGCCCTATATATATCCTAATTATAGACTAAATACTATAATAATAAATATTAAATTTACTTTAAAGATAAAGAAATATTAGGATATTACCTAAAGGATAGTAACCTTAGATAATCTAAATATAATATAACTATCCTAGATACTTACCTTAAGACCCTAGCTATAATATATTCTAGTAATAGCAAAATTACTAAGAAACTAGCTAAACTACTTAATAAAATACTATAAATCTAATAACTAAAGCTAGTTACTATATATATAACCTCTTAATAACTCTACTATAAAGAATAATAAATCTAAGAAGAAATAGAAATAATCTAATAAGAGGATGCTAGATAGGCATAACTATACTAATAGGAAGAATTAGAAGAAGAACTAGAATACTAACATAATCTACTAATAGAATAATAACTCCTCAGTATAACTAGTAACTAAACTTTTAGAGAAGGTAAGAGTTTACCTTATAACTTAGATAAACCTCATAATATTACTTAATAATATACTTAAGCAGAGATCACCTATAGCTTCACCCCTAATATAGATAACTCTAGCTCTAAAGAGGAATCTAATAACTAAGAAAATAAAATTAAGCAACTCTTAAAATATTAAAAAATTAATATACTCTAAGATAAATAGTAACACTAATTCTATAGCACCTCAGTAGACTAATAAGACTAAAACTATACCTTCTAGCTATATATAGAAGATTATCTTATTCTATAAAGCAATTATTAATAACATTAAACCCTCTTCTAGCCCTAGTATTTCCATAATAAGTATAAGGAATATATAGGAAATAAGCATAACTACTAATTCTACTTTAGAAGACTTAATAATAAACCTATTAAAAGTATCTATATTATATATATTATAATTAGATAGACTATAATAACTTTTAATAGAAAGATTACTACCTTTTAACTAAGCTTATAGTTCCTTATAAGATACTAATATAATAATAATATAAAATAGGATGAATACTAATATAATAAATGCTAAGTTTATTACTAAGATAAAGCTTATGCATAGAGAATCATAAAGAATAAACTAAAACCCCCTTAGGTTAGAATCTATAAAAATAGCCTCATTAGGGTAGTATAAAAAGGAAAATAAATCACCTACCTAAAATAACTAGAGTAGTTAAAAAACTAGCCTCACCTATTAATAATAGATTATAATAGGTAATAGGGAAAAGATCTATCTACTAGATATTATAAAGATATAAAAAGAACCTAGAACTTAAAGTTACTATTAATAAATAAATAATACTCATACTAATTAATAGTAAAGCTAAAGCAAATTTTATTACCTCCTAAGCTATTAATAAGCTAGAAGTATAATAAGGAGGAAAAGAACAACTATACCTTTTATATATAGCAGAAAGAGAAGAATTTAAGTATAAAAGAGGTACTATCTATAATAAGACTATACCTCTTAAGATAAGTTACTTAGATCAAAAAGAAAAAATCTAATTTAATATTACTAATATAAGGATATATAACATAATACTAAAATTAACCTAGCTATAAATAAATAACCTATAGATAAACTAAAGCAAAAGCTAACTCTAATAAGACTATAATAACTTAATCCCTAAGTAGCCCTATTAGAACTAAGCCTCAAACAAGCTAATATAACAAGAAATAACAAAATAATATATCTACTACCTTAAAGCAAAAAAAGCTATATTATAACTATTAATAATAAAAGATCTAAAACAAAAGAATAATCTACTTCTATCTATCCTAGAAGAATATAGAGTATATAAGAAACTCTTTATAGCTAAATTAGAAACTAAACTACCTAAATATATAAGCTTTAATTATAAAATCCCCCTTAAAGAAGGAAAAGAACTATAATTCAATAAAATCTATAGCCTTAACCTAATAGAAATAGAAGCTTTAGATAAATACCTCAAAGAAAATCTTAAGAAGAGATATATTAAACCCTTAATATTACTAATAGGAAGTTTAATCTTATTTATACTAAAGAAGAATAAGAAGCTATAACTATATATTAACTATTGTATACTTAATAAAATAATAATTAAAAATTACTACTTACTACTACTTATCAACAAAATAAAGAAACTTCTCTATAAAGCTAACTAGTTTATAGCCTTTAACCTTAAAGATACTTATAACCTAATTAGGATAAAGCAAGGAGAAGAATAGAAGACTACCTTTAGGATATATAAAGAATACTTCAAATACCTCATCATACCTTTTAGTCTCACTAATGCTCCTATAATATTCTAGAATATAATTAATTTAGTCCTATATAAATATATTAATATTTATATAGTTATCTACTTAGATAACATTCTTATATTCTTACTAATACTTAAGTAATATAAAAAAGATATTTACTATATCTTACAAGCTCTTTAGGAAGCTAAGCTTCTTATTAAACCTAAGAAAAGCAAATTCCACACCTAAAAAGTAAAATACCTTAAATTCACTATTACCCCTAGAGAAGTTTAAATATTAGAAAATAAAATTAAAGCTATTAAAGAATAGCTAAAACCTAAAAACCTTAAGGAAGTCTAAAGATTCTTAAGTTTTATTAACTTCTACTAAAAATTCATTAAGAACTATAATAAGATTAACATAACCTTTACTAACCTCAGCTATAAAAACACCTCTTTTATATAAGAAAAACTATAATAAATAGCTTTTTAGAAAATTAAGGACCTTATTAGCAGTAAACTAGTCCTAATAATATTAGATCCTACTAAGTAGTTTAAAGTAGAACTAAACTCCTCAAACTACACCCTTAGAGTATAACTATTATAATAGAACTTAAAAAGAAAGCTATACCTATATACCTTCTTCTCTCAAAAACTCTATAAACCTAAGCTTAACTATTAAATCTACAATAAAGAACTTATAGTAATTATTAAAGTATTTAAAGAATAGAAACCTAAACTCTTAAGAATAATTTATAAAGTACTTATATACTTAGATCATAAGAATTTCTTATACTTTATAACCTTAAAAGTATTAAATAAATAATAAGTTAGATAGTTAGAATTCCTATTAAAATTTAACTTCTAAATTATCTATTAAAAAGGATTAGATAATAGTAGAGCTAATACCCTTAGCTAATAACTAAACTATAACATCCTAGTACTAAAAGAAACCTAAGTAATTCTTAAAAGAAATAATAATAGAGATCTAATGCTAGCTACTAAACTTTTAATAATAGCTAGATAATCTAGCGCTAGCCTACTTAGCAAACTAAATAATAAAGCAATTATAGAGTTTCATACTTACCTTATATATAGTTACTAAGGAATTATAAAAACCTAAAAAAGACTATAATAATAATATAGAGAAAAGGTTATTAGAGAATATATAGTAAAAGTAATTAAGGATTATAAAGTATACTTAAAAAGTAAACCTACTTAATATTAACCTTATAGTATATTATAACCTTTACTTATATTATAAACTACTTAGTAATCTATATCACTTAACTTTATTATTAAACTATTAAAATCTTAAGAACCCCTCATAAGAGTATACTATAATAGCATTCTTATTATTATAAACTAACTTATAAAATACGCTTACTTTATCCTATATAAAGAAGCAAATAATACTAAGGAATATACCTATACCTTTCTCAAATATATTATTGCTAACTATAAAACACTTAAAGAGATTATATTAAATAGAAATAAGATCTTTATATCAAACTTTTAGAAATTAATTATATCGTACCTAAGCATCAAATAATTAATATCTACTATATTTCACTTATAGACTAATAGATAAATAGAATAAATCAACTAAATTCTCAAAACCTACCTCTACGTTTATATTAACTATAACTAAAATAATTAGGTTATATTACTACTAATAGCCTAATTTGCCTATAATAGCGTAGTAAGAAAAAGTACTAAGGAATCCCCCTTCTACCTTAACTATAGATTTAAACCTACTACCTATAGAAAACCTTAAGTAAGCCTAGCTATAGTAAAAGCTATTACTTTAGTATAATAAATTAAAGATATCTAGAAAAATGCATAAAAAGAACTTAAATTTATATAATAAAGAATAACTAAGTTTAGTAATAAATAAAGGATTAAAGGACTAACTTTAAAAGAAGGAGATAGCGCCTATCTTATATAGTAAAATATTAAAATAAAATAACTAAATAATAAGCTAAACTATAAAAAACTTAGACTATTTAAAATCTCATAAGTTATTTTACTAGTTAACTATAAACTTAAACTCTTAGATACTATAAAGTATTACCCTATATTCTATATCTTACTACTTAAACTAGCCCTATAAGGATTATAAATAAATAATATTATTATTATAAAAGATAATAAACTAAAATATAAAATAGAAAAACTACTTAATTACTAATATAGAAATAATAAATAAGAATACCTAGTTAAGTAGAAAAACTATAGTTATAAAGAAAACATATAAGAACCTAATAACAACCTACTTAATTATTAAGATAAAATCAATAAGTATATTAGAACGCTTAACTATATTAACCTTAAGGATAGACTAAGTCTACCTATAACCTTAGAAGAGTTTAAGGAATACTATAAACGTACTAATAAAAGAGAAAAAAGAGTATAAGAGGAACTATAATAAGAATAAAGAGAAGCTAAAAAGCAAAAGATATAACTTCTATTCCCATAATCATAATTAGAACGCTTTTAGCTAATATAGCAAGGAAAACTATTTATTCAGCTAAGGATACTAGAGTATAACTAGGACTCCCCAGATAAGAAGTTCAGAGTACTAAGATTCCAATTAAAGATTAAATCTAAGTCTACTACACTAAAAACACCTATTAACTACGCCTTAAGAACTAAGAGAGATTTAGTAGGAAAAAGCTCTAGTACCCCCTCCTCTTCAACCACTACTAAAGTCTCCTTATAACCCTTTTTAAATATTATTTGCTTAGCTTTATGAACATAATCTAACTTTATAAGCACCTTATTCACTTCAGCCTATACCTTTTATAGCACCTCTATTCTCTTTTAAAATAATTCCTCAGTTTCCTCCTCCTCATTATCCAAACGCCAAAACTCAACCATCAAGCGTTCCACTACACACAAAATTAATACAAATAAACATAATAAGCCTAAAGCTACACAAACATTAGTAGATCGTATCATTAGAAGCATTACATAAACAATAAGTGCTACCTATAGCAACATACTCCCTGCAAACTAAAGAACTAAGCAGCATTTTATAGCATAACCTTTTAGACTAATAATAACAACAAAACATAACTTTAAAACTATTCTCTATAATATTTAAAGAATAATAATAACAATAAAGAGTAGAAATTATAGGATTTTCAGGAACATAACCTAATATAATATCAGTATTATAGGTAAATTAAAAAGTATAATTAACAGGTCCCTAACCTAAGACTAATAACCTACTTATATTAGGTCTTAAGGATAAAACTTTTAGAGGGAGGACCTAATATTACAACCTATAAACAAGGATAACAGCTAAACAACCTACTTAAGCGTTAGGTAGCTAAGATAGGATATTTATACTATAGGATTATAGGAATAATAAAGACTTACTTAGAAATAGAAGAACTATAGAATAGGTTATATAATAATAAGATAAAACTAAGTAAATAGTATAGATTACTAAACGTTTAGTAAGAGCTACTAAGCGCTTACTTATAATCACTAAGCGTTTATTAATACTTAGTTAGGAATTAGTAGTTAAATAAAGAAACTATTTAAAACTTATATATAGTATAACTATAAACTAAGTTTAAGGTTAAATTTCTATAGCTTTTTAGTAATTAACTTAGTATTTATTTTTAAGATACTCTTAGCTTACTTATACTATAAATTACTTATTAAGTCTAAGACTAATCACTTTAGCTTCTAAAGACCTAATCTACTACAGCCTACAACCTATAACTCAGATTATAACCTAGTATACTATTAGAACGTATCAATCCCTAGCTTCTGTTAGCAGACCCTACTGTCGGATAGCTGACCGTAATACTATTGTCAGAGTGTGGTTTCAACCTACGGACAGCAAAATAATCGGTTTCAGTTTCAAAAAAAAACAACACATCTTTAAGCAACAATATCCCTCAAACTCAGTCTACCAAGAAGAATTCGCATCACTAGGTTACTATCCCCCAATGCTTTTTCGACCTCGCCAATTGTTTGCTCAACTGCCGTCTCAAGTTCCTTCAATCTTTTCAATGTAAAATCCATGGCATTTGAACTCTTCAAGAGCCCAATGATATACCGCTTGGTCTCATGAGGCAACCTCGGAGGCTCTGCGGAGTTGTTCCGAGCCGTGTTGGCAGCTTGCTGTCTAAAGATTCCCATGATGTGATCCTGATGCTCTGGATTCTGTCGCAGAGCCAGAATCAGCGGATAAGACATTTTGCCCTCATCTAAATCTTCGCAGAAGCCTTTCTGATCTGAGTACTCATTCGAGTGCAAATTCATGTAGTCATCTCTGATCTGGAAGAAGCGTCCAAAGAGATGACACATTTTGACTAGTGACTGAGCTGTTTCACTGGACGTAACGACGGAGCTCTCCTGAACCATCAGTCGAGTCAGAAGACTGAACATGGCCCCCGTCTTACAGTCTATCATTTCCAGATATTCCTGCTCCGTTGGAATCTGAAGATGGAACTTCCAATAAAGATCCCAGCTCTGGCCAATGAAGAGATGCTCAAGCTCAGTCAGGAGTGTTTTCTGACACTCGGGATTGTTAAGTGTTCGGGTGAGCTGGACAGCCTGAACAAACATGAAATTTGCCGTGTTAATTGACTGGGCTTGTCCAAATATCATATGTGTTGCTGGTAGACCTCGGCGGAGAGGGGAATTGTCCTCTATGTCATCTAGGATGAGCGACGAATTGTGCAACAGGTCGATAATCTTCTTGATAGTTTCAAGCGACTCGTCATCCACAAGCAGCCACTGATCGAGGGCCTCAACCATCAACGACCGTAATCCTTTTGATGGCATAGAGCGTATGTATTGGCATGGAGCGATCAAAGCTCGGTTGCTTGACGATGAAGAAGTCTTGTTGTCATCCGCTGTGAGTGCGAGAGGCTCGGAAAGCGCCAAATCCGTCGTTGGATATGAGTTGTGCGATGTGACACTTGAGGTGTATGGTCCCGGAGAAGAAACTGAGGACTGAATGGCGACATCGCGAACTGGCGAAGACGAGAAACTGCCGTCGCTGCGCAGACTTTCATCGTCTCGCCATGCATGATGTCGAGGGCAATTGGCACACCAGTAGTGATTGCCGGCAACAATCGCTCCGCAAACCCCGATGTACTTCTTGAGATTCAAGTCGGCATTGGGATTCTCCCCGAGAAACTCAGCCTTAAGTCGCGCAAAACTTTGTTCGTAGTCTGTGATTTTCTGGCGAACCGCCTCTCTGGCCTGCTCCATGGAGAGACCTTGAGTTCTCATGAATAGGTGGACGGCATTGACAATTCTGGGATCCTCCGTCTGCTGAGCTTGGCGCCACTCGCGGTCCCAACTCCAATAGTCGTTCGTCAACACGAGGGCGGATTCAGCCGCCTGAAAAATTGGACGAACAGCCGTTTTCTGCTGATCTGATATGTCGACTGCCATTCCAAACTCTACCATACTCCAGAATGCCCTATTAAATATTAGCCTTTTCCACTATGCTTAAGCTGATGTTTGTACTCACTCCATGCCTCCATTCAGGTTTCTGAAGATTAGATACTCTTCGAGGCTGGTTATTTCATTTACGTCTCTCCTCTCCATCACATCCAGCCATTTAGATCGGTATGTGTTGATCATGCGCAAGGCTCGAGGTCTATCAATCTCCATTGCCTCGAGAAGACACTTTGATATGTAGCGCTTCATTTTCATCGAGCGTTCAGCAGCCTTGGAGCTGCTCCGATTGTCCACTGCGCTAATTTCCATGGCCTGACTAAGGCTCTTGTGCTCTTTGAGAGCTTCCTCATAAGGAAGTTCGTCGCACAAATCTGGAAATGACTAATCAGAACTGGTAACGCGGAAACTTCAGGTCAGAACACAAACTTACCGTCGTGAATGTTTCCCATGTTAGCCAAATATGTGATGACTCCCAAACGTTCAGGGAGAGACTCTGGGAAGATGAAAGCCCCCCAGTTTCCGACGGGACTCCACGATGAACCAGACTTGTGCTCCCAACCGTCACCGATATAGGCACCCCAGTCCAGAATTGACTGTTTGGTGGCATCATCTGCAAGATCATTTCTATGATGAATGCGGATTGGTAGTGTCGTGAAACAACCAGTGGACGCTGCCACCTCAGCGTCGATGTCGACAGAATATTCCCAAATAGCATCCATGATGCGAGAGTTGGCCGCCGTGTTGACGTAATTCCTTCAATGATTTGAGAATAGTGTGATTGCAATCTCTCGGCGTTACCAGAAGCTTTTGTCTGCTCTTGTCCCGAAAGGTGACCTTAGTGACTGACAAAGCGGCCTAGTAGTTATGCTTGGCTACGAGCCACTACACCAACGCGGCACATCGTATAAATCTATGATGGGACATTTCCGATGCGCATACAGTAAGGTTCTCGTAGCCTCTCTCCGGTGTAACCAACTAGGATCTCCCATAGCCGTTCGGTAAGCTTTCCCGTTCTTCTGGAACAACGATATCGTCCCTGATTATCAGAAACGTGCGTGCCTGGACCATGGAGAGTACAGCAGGGCTGATGGTTTGAGGCGTGCTTGCTTTGGCCATGCATCAGCCATGTGTTTGACTACTTTGATACATTGTGCTCGGCTCATGTGTTGTTACTTGAAGATAGTTTAGAACGGTGAATCCAAAAGTTCGGGCTTTTTTCTTCGGTGCAGGTTCGGTACAGAGTCGAAGCCTAGGTACGGCAGGCTCGCGTTTGCCCCACCCTCATCCGCGCAACTCTGTTATATGCAACAAAGCAATCCGTCGTAGAATTACAGTTTTGCTTCAAACGAAATTTCTTTCTCCGCGGAACCTGTCCATGGACCGATCAGAAAGGGCTAAAGAGATGGGATTGTCATTTGATATTCATCCAATATATATTTATCTCGAACTCTGTTGAAGATCCGAAAGTCACTCGGAGATCCGATGGAATAAATCAAGTTCTAGGCTGCCTTAGCTTTTCGGTCGGTGCCCGGATGTTGAAAGGGATAAGCACACACAACATGGGAAATGTTGAGTTCCTCCTAGTCAGACGGCGGCCGCGAAAGGGGTGCTAGGTTCGACGGCACGCGCTATCTTTTCCTCCATTTGCCGAAGAGAGAAAGAATGTAGCGGTCACCTTTCTTCGGTGTTATTGCAGGCGTTACGGCAATGTTCCGGGCCACTTAGGTCTGTTTTCCCCAGCCCGAAGATCTCATCGTTGCAGCTACTGTGCACAATATTGTAATAACACAAGAATCAATAAAAGAAATCTGAGCGTAGTGAATACTTGGTACTTGAAACAACATCATGAGCACATCGCAGAGGCCGCTCCCTATCAGCTTGGCTAGCTCACTGGATTCAACGAAGTGCGGATACCGACAGTTGGGCAGATCAGGCTTACGCGTTTCTGTTCCTATCTTCGGGTGCGCTGGCTTCGGAGATCCTGCAGGCATTCGCCCATGGGTTCTGGGAGAAGAAGAAGCAATATCTCTTCTCAAAGCCGCATATGACCGCGGCATCAACACCTGGGACACAGCAAATATCTATTCGAATGGATTGTCAGAAACATTCATCGGAAAGGCTATCAAGAAGCATGATATTCCAAGAGAGAAAGTGGTTCTTCTCACGAAATGTTTCTGGGCTGTTGGCGAGGACCAATCTGTTCAGCACGCCATGATGCCTGTTGAGAAGTCGAAAGACTATCAGAATATGTTCGGACTTTCGAGAGCGGCCATCTTCAACGCCGTCGACGCGTCACTTCGCAGGCTGGATACAACTTACATCGATGTCCTGCAAGTCCATCGTTTTGATCCGGATGTTCCAATCGAGGAGACGATGAAGGCCTTGGATGACCTCGTCCGGATGGGGAAAGTGCGCTACATAGGTGCCAGCAGTATGTGGGCATGCCAGTTCGCTCGAATGCAAGTAAGCTTTCATGATCTTCCGGGTTGTACCCGCGAATCAAAGCTGACGTAGTGCTACCCAAGCATGTTGCCGAACTTCATGGCTGGACAAAGTTCGTCAGCATGCAGAATTGCTACAACCTTGTCTACAGAGAAGAGGAAAGGGAGATGATCCGGTTCTGTAACGACACGGGAATTGGGCTCATTCCTTGGTCTCCTCTGTGCAATGGTTGCCTCACTCGTCTGCCTTCTGTCACAGATCGTTCTATGAGTAAAAGAGAGGAGTTTGAGAGCAAATTCGGGCTTTCTCTGGGACGCGTTGAGCCTGATACCAGCATCATATCTCGAGTTGCGGAGGTCGCACAAAGCAACAAATGGCCCATGAGCCACGTTTCGCTCGCATGGATCAATAAAAGAGTATGCAGTCCGATTGTGGGTTTCACAACTATCGAAAAGATGGAGGACGCTCTTGGGGCATCAGGCAAGGTACTTGATGAAGGCGACGAGAAATACCTAGAGGCATTATATAAGCCCAAAGTCGTGTATGGCCATAGCTAAGCCCTTGTCTTATAAGACGAAGCTTACGAAGGAAGTGAAAGTCTTGAGAATGCTCACTCACTTTGAATGAGGATTATTGTTTGACGAGCATCAAGACGTGATGAGAGCTTGCGTTTGAAATGCGTGACAGATTGTGGGAAGAAAGAAAGAGGTCAGAAAAAGATGAGCCTCCAGTCATTTAATTGAGTCAAGGCGTCTTATGATGCACTTAAGCGAAAGGAAGTTCTCATATCTTCGAAATCGTATTCATCGAGGCTCTCATGGGCATTCGGACCGGCCGTGCGCAGAAACAAAATAAGAACACTGTACGGCCCCCAGTAGAAAGCAAAACCCAGGCGCCCAAGTCCGCCCTGATCAAATATTAGTAAGGCTCGTCTACACTGTACACACTGTGCACCCACCTCGCGCGTCAAACTTCACCTCAAGCGAATCTTTTTCACTATCATCAAACAACAGCAACCTCATCACATCACCAAAATGGTGCGAACGCGCCCCCGCAACAAAACACGGCGCGTAGCAGTTATCGACTACGGCTCAGACGGCGAGCCGCCCGAGGCGCATGAGGACCCCGATGACGACAATTTTGAGGCGCCCCCACCAGACCCGGAAGATGATGAAGACGACCGCATGGACCTTGACGGCGGCGGCGACGATGATTTTGAGGCAGAAGACCCGTCGTCTCTTGCAATTGACGCAGCCAATCGGGATTTCGATGACGAGGATGACGAGCGCCCTGCGTACACCAGCTCAGCCGGCCTGCGCAAACGGCAGGCGGACATGGCGGCGCTGGAGAAGTACCACGCCGACGGGCGCCCGACGCGGTATTACACCGGCGCGCTGAAGCGAGGTCAGAGAAATCAGATCTTGGACTATTTCTACGGGCCTGATGAGGAGGCGATCGGGATTGCGGGTTGGTTGTTGAGTCGGTGGGCGGCGTACGGGGTCTTGCCGAGTAAGGTGCCTGGGGGCGACGCCTGTCCCGTGTCAAGTCCCTGGCTTGAGGAGGGGCATTTGGAGCAGCAAGCTGAAGTCTCGAAAGTTTGGTTTGCGAGGGTGAGCGGTGGGGAGGGAGTGACGGATGCAGAGAGGCAAATGAGTCGTGAGGAAGCTGAGGAGTGGAGGGTGAGGCCCGACGGCGAGTTGAAGATGGTTCTTGGCCCGTACCCGGAGCAGAAGGAGGTGAAGATTGAGCCTCACGGATGCTTGGTTCTCGCTGAGTCTGGGCTGCCTATGGAAGGAGAGGCGGATGAGAAGGTGGCTGGGTGGATGTTCGATGTCGGTGGTCTTGTGATCGGTATGGACTGGGCTCTCAGAGGAGAAGGGAACTCGCAGATTCTCGCGCTCGCTGTCAGTCCCCACACTGACCAGCAGCTTGATGCTGAGGATGCTGTCGATGAGCAGAAGGGCACCATCCAGCTGTGGGAGCTCCACGGTCGGACAGACGAGAACGGCATGCCATACCCGCAGAACCGCCCAGCAAAGCTGGCTCGTACCATCTGCTCAGATTGGGGAAGAGTCAAGAGAATCAAATGGTGTCCCATCCCATTCACGGATGACGGCTCATTAGGTCTTATGGCACTACTCTGTGGTGATGGCCAAGTCCACGTCGTCTCAGTCAAGGACATCGATAACGACGAGCAAGACTCCTTCAGTAAGTCACTCTTTCCTTTGCGGAAGCAGTACCCTAATACTTAGTAGCCAAACTCGAACACGAGATCGTGACCCTAGGCCTCCCCTCGGAAACAAATGTCACAGTAACCTGCTTCGCCTGGGTCACCACGAACCGCATCGTAACAGGCCACTCCGACGGCTCTCTCACCCTCTGGTCCATCGCCCCGCGCGTCTGCCTCTCCCGACACGACGTACACTCCACCTACGTGATGCACATCGACACCGCCTACCCGTCAGACCCGTACCTGGTCGCCTCGACCCCGATCGCGGGCTACACCACTCTCGTTGACCTCTCCGACCCATCCTGCGAAAGGACGAGCTTCCCCTGCTTCGCTATCAGCCCGCAGCCGAACCTCCTGCAGTGGAACGATCATCTCAGAGGATTCTTTAGTACGGTGCCCTCTGCCAATCCGCTGAACGCGTCGGTCGGGTTCATCCACTCGAGATGGTACGCGGCGCAGGTGCGGAAGGTCATGGACGGGGACAGGCTGCCCACGTGTCTTGCGGTGGGCCTGCACCATCCGTTCGTGCTAGTTGGATACCTTGACGGGACGGTGTGGGCTGCGAATCCCGGGAACAGGATCTTTGCATCGAAGCATCACTTTGGGCACAAGATCAAGGTGTTGGAGCACACATACATCCCGCGCGAGAGGCTGCCACCATCGGTCCAGCAAGTGAATGGCAATGAGCAGGGATGTCGCGGCGTGTCGAGGATCTTGCAAGGCTTTCGCCCAGTTCCCAATGTCAACCCTAAGGTGGATACATGGAAGAGCAAGGTCGCGACCAACAAGAAGAAGGATAAAAAGGGCAAAGGGAAGGCCAAGGGGAAAGCTAAGGGCAAAGCCAAGGCTGGTGCAGTTGAGGAAGAAGAGGATGCGGACGTACAGGGCGGCCAAGAAGAGGGCGACGGACACTTCGCTGACCCGACGAGGGCTGTTCTCTCAGAAGCGTTGACGAGAGTCACGACTATGGCGTGGAACCCGAATCAGGAGACCTCGTGTTGGGCTGCGGTGGCGATGGCCTCAGGACTGGTGAGGGTGATGGATCTGGGCGTAGAATGCTAGATTTCAGCATAAATGATACCCTTTTATTACACAATTACTTCTATCTTCACGTTTACTCTATCGATTTAACACTGCGACCCCATGACAGTGTGGTGGTAGTCAAACGCCTTCGCCATGCCGTACAAATGCGTCGCCGCCGCGAGGACCACGAAGAAGTGGAAGATCTGGTGCGAGCTGCCCCAGATATCAAAGGTGCGGGGATAGCTCCGCTCAGGCCAGCGGGCAGCGTACAGGAACGCGCCAAAGATGTACATTGCGCCGTGCAGGACTACCCAGCTCAGGCTCATGCGGTTCTCCATTTCCGCCCGGCCGTACACGGTCAGGCCGTGGATGACGGGCACGACGCCTGAGGTGCCGAGGGCGACGAACATGCAGGCGCGGAAGGTGCGGTACTGAGGCGTGCGGAAGTGCTCGAGCCAGGATACCATGCCGCAGCCGAGGCCCAGGAGAACAATCTGTGAGGTGTGAGCGACGTCGACAGTGACTTATACGAGGGAATAGAAGACTTACCGTGCTGAGGTAGACCTTCATCAAGTTGGTGTGGCAGAAGAAGCCGTAGTACAGAGCCGGCACGTAGCTGCCGACGATGAGAAACACGATGCCCGAGTAATCCAGCTTGTTGCCCCATTTCGCGACCTCGGGGGAGTGGTTGCAGAGGGCGTGGTAGGTGGCGGACATGCCGAGGCAGGCCACGGCGCCGGCGAAGAAGCAGGCGAAGACGAAGAGGTCGGCGGCCGATGCGGACTCATAGCGGGGGGCGATGACGGTGTACAGGAACGCCCCGCCGAAGAGGAAGGCGACGGCGCCGAGGAGGTGGGACCAGATATTGACGGACTCGTTGTGGAGGTAGCCCAGGCTTTTGAAGGAGCCGAGGTAGGAGTTTGAGTCTGGGCGGTAGCCGGAGATGATGAAGGCGTTGTCGCGGCGCCAGTGGGGGAGGTCGTCCCAGAGGATGAGGAGGGCGCGTTCAATTTTTTGTTCGAGGGCTGCGGCCTTGTGTTCTACTGTCTCGAGGAGGGATTCATTGGTGTTGCTGTCTGTGTTGTTGGCTTTGCGGTTTTTGAGGCCAGAGCCCTCGGCGGTTGCGGTCATCTTGCACGATGGTTTTTGAGATGGAACAAATCTACAGTCTGGTGCACAACGAGTGTGAAGTATTCGACGTGAAAGCAGTGAGTCTATGTTGTGCAGGATTGAAGTTCATCATGAGCCGTTGCGAATGAGTGGGCTTATACGTGGTGGTGATGTTCCCTTGCGGCGGGTCCCTAACGGGTGGGATGCGATGGAATTGTTGGGATTTCCACATGCTGAAAAAACGATGGCAACGGAGCGGCTCCGAGGCCGTTGAAAGTGCTCCGATCGGGGACTCTCAGCTGGCGCCAAGTGGAGGGGCGGACACCCGGACAGCAGGTCACCGCCCATGGGTCGGTCCGTCGGTGAGACTGCCCACCGCGGCGGAGCAGTTCCCCTGTTTTTTCTTCTTCTTTTGCACCATCTTTGGACGCGAGAGGCGTGCAGCGCCGTGAGACACACTGAGACGGACACTGGATGGAGACGAGGGGCGCTGTGCGAAGGGTCTTGTGGGTAAAGGGATCAGCATCTGCACGCGGGACGTTTCGCACGGGAACCAACTTCAGACAACCACCCCATGGAAAAAAAACATACGAGAATCCCTCTCCCCCAGTTCATTTGGTTTTTAAGCATGTTGTGTCAACCCAAGTCTCGCGACCGAGTCAAAACCGCCCTAGGATTCAGGTGGTGTTGGCTGTGCACTTCAAGGCATGAGAGACATGTCGAGCGTGCGCTGGCATCACCCATGCCCCACGCACCCCCGGAGCGCATCAGGCGGTTCGAGTTTATTCTCTCTCCCAGTAAACTTGCAGGAGTACGTTAATCATTTCATTGCATGCTCGTGTAGGTATGTAAAAGAATGCGCTCCGCCTAGCCGCCTCAAAATTGCTGCAAAATCTGCCTGTCTGGTCGGAAGCAGAACACGCTTGCTGGCTGGCTCCTCGCGATAACTCCTGTCTCGCCTTGAACGGGAAGACGCCGCTTATTTCTTGCCGGACTTCTTGATGCCCTGGGCGCCGGTGTTCAGAGGTCCCTTGCCGCCGGCCTTGGCGGCCATGTCCTTGCGAGCCTTCTCCTCTGCATCGTCGTTAGTAGGTTGCGCGATCGAGGCGTTCCGTGGTGGAACATACCGGCGCGCTTCTTCTCGAGGAACGCGAGATCGTCCTCGTCGAGGTCCTTGTTCTGCTTCTTCGCGGC